AGGGAGATCCAGTGCCTCGTCTTCCTCAGGGATGTGTTTTGGGTATGTTTCCTGGTCCCTTGTTTCTCCTGCTTTATCTTGCTTCTTTGTGTGGACTGTGATGCTCTGTTGTCTCTGTGGCATTGTGACAATTTTCTGTTTATATTTAATTGGTGATTGTATGTTGGAGTGACTTGCCCACGATTTTCATTTTCTTTATTTTGTTCGTATGTTATCTATACAGGCAAGGTACTGTGCTATGCTCCTCTGTTCACTAGTTGACAGGACTTATACACTCACCACCTGTCTCCTTTCCTGTTGTCAGCCTCTCATATGTCCCTGCCGGCCTTGACAAACAGCTTATTCTTAGGTCCCTGGAATCTGAATGAGAATGCTATCACTTTAAAATCCAAAAATGGTTGCCACTTGTAAAGATTCAAAATTCCTGTGCCCTCAGTCACTTTAAATATTCAAAATGGCCACTGCTTTAAACATTCAAAATGGCTATGCCGTTGGTCACTTTAAATATCCAAAATGTCTGCCACTTATAAACATTCAAATTGGCTGCACCCTCAATCACTTTAAATATCCAAAATGGCTGCCAAATGTAAACAATCAAAATGGCTGCACCCTCTGGTCAGTGGAAAGTCCACAGCTCAATTTGTCTCCCTCCTTGCTGTTTCCCTTCCTAGTCAAAGGCCACTAACGCAGTTGTCCCTGCAGCCTTTGGTGACCAGAGCTAATCTTTAGGTCAATTCTCAGGTCCCAACACCACTTGGAAATATTTAGGCTGTTGGTCCCATCAGAGTAGCTGCCAATCCACAGCTCCGACCATCTCTGTACTCTTTTTCGTTCAGGTTTTTCCACTACTTGGTGCTTAAATCCACTTCTGTATAGTTCCTTTCAAAGCTAAGGGCTCCAGGGTTATTGCCTGTATCTCTGTCAATTGGTTTTTCTTTTCTTTGTTGAAGAGGGTCTGTGTCGCTTGTCTGCCTATTCCTCCATCGTACCGGAAGTGGTTGGTTGTCATTTTTAAGAACATTTTATGCTGTTGCATTGACTCATGAGTTTGGTTCCCTGCCTTTTATCTTCAGTGTAGATAATTTACTTTTGTTGTAATTGTAAATGGGTTACTATTTTCCAGCTCCTTTTTTCATATCATTTCTAATAGCATAAGAGAACTCTGGTGGCATAATGCATAAGGCATTTGACTGCTAACAGGAAGGTCAGCGGTTTAAACCCATGAGTTGCTCCAGGTAAGAAAGACTGGGCGATCTACTTCCATAAAGATTTACAACCTTGGAAACCCAGTGGGAGTCACTGTAAGTCAGAATCGACTCGATGGCAGCAAGTTTGGTGTTTTTTTTTTGGTCAGAGAAAAATTTATTTTAAATATTTACTTGATGTTTGATCACCACACTAAAACTCTTATTGTATCATTCCTATATCCAACAGTTCAATATGAAAATGTCCAAACCTACAGAAATATTGGAAGAGTTTTGAAGTTCCCATCCATATACCTGCCATAGATTTTGCTATTAATACTGTACTTGATTAGCTCCACCAATTATCTAACCATCTATCCAGCCCTCTGTCCATGAATCAGTCATTTTTTGTCGTTGACAGTAGTGTAGTGAATTACTTAATATGATCCTTCTCGTCTTATGACTGTGCTTGAATAATTTTTCTTAGAAGGACCAGCACAAGGCCAGTCACTATGAGGCAGAGGTTAAAGATGTCCCAAATGTCCAGCTTTTCCAAACTTCCATGCCACTCCATTATCTCTGACATCAACTCCTTCTCCCCTCAATAATCTCCCTCCTGTGTTAAGGTTCCGTATTTTGCTGTAATGTCTCAGAGAACACACAGACTCCCAAGAAAACAGCTAACGTGGTGGTGGTGGAGGCTGGGAGGCTGGCTGGCTGACATGTCCCAGGTCTTTGGTAGGTCTGGAGAATTGTCACAATGTGGTTGCAGGTTGTTGTTGTTGTTGTTGTTATGTGCCGTCGAGTCAGCCCTGACTCATAGCGACCCCTCCTTGGGTTTCCGTGGCAGTATCACTACGGAAGTAGGATTGCCCAACCTTCCTTCCGAGGTTGCAGGTTAGTGAACCCAAATTGGTAGGTCAGATGATGGCTGCTGTCTCCATTCCAGGGGTGAGATGATCACCAACCAGATGCAGAACAAGGGCAAGAAAGAGAACTTTCCCAGAACATTCACATACCTACCCTCAAAGAAGCTAAGGGTGGTGACTTGAGTCACACCCTCCAGCAAGGCAGTACTCATGATGCATCCCACCCTAGACAGGCATAGAGATTAGGATTTATAATGCATCACAAAATGACTGGTGGCTTGAGTCATACTTTCCAGCAAGCCAGGACTCAAAATGCACCCCACCCTAAGCAGGCATAAAAACACCAAACCAAACTCATTGCCATGGAGTTGAATCTGACTTATAGTGACTGCTCCTTGGGTTTCGAGGCAGTATCACTACAGAAGTAGATTGCCCAATCTTCCTTCTGAGGAGTGGCTGATGGATTTGAACCACCAGCCTTTTGGTTAGCAGTCAAATGCCTTAGGCACTACACCACCAGAGCTCCTTATAATACATCACAGAATGGAGGACGATGGCTAGAAGGGCAAGTCACTGCACTGCAGACTGCCACAAAATGATTGGATAGGATTATGGGAATTGTGGCCCACCAAGGGGATTGGACAGCCTGCTAATAATGCAAATAACTACATGGAACCCTTGCAGGGGGTGGAACCATGCAAGTCATATGGAGGCCTGACAAGGTTACTGGTCAGTTTTTCCATCTTTAAAAAGAGAGCCAGCCACTGTCAGAGCAAGAAGGGGGAACCTCACTACCATTCAGAAGAAGATCTGGGAGAGAAGTGTGTCTTTTGTACCTGGTGTGCCTGTGCTGAGAACCTCCTAGACCCAGGAGCCAGAGTGCTGTAACATTGGAGAAAGCATGAGGCAGCGAGAAGCAGTGGCAAGCAGAGTAGAGAGGTGGCAGCAGCAGAAGCTGGAGACTGGCATGAGGCGGCCAGTGGGCTTCCCATGCCACTGAGCAAGTGCAGCCTTGGTGGGCGTGCCAACCCAAGAGCAAGAGAGCTGAGTGGAAGCCAGCCATGCAGGTTTGACAGTGTGTTTTTCTGCATGGTCCTGCCAGTTATCCCAGCTCGTACATCAGGCTCCTCAGAGAGCTCCTGGTGCCTCACAGGGCAGGCTGCAGCCCAGGACCACTCAAAAAGTATCAAACCCGATTGTTTACAGGTTACCCAGGTGCAGTGTGGAGCTGTGGAGCTCTGGCAGCAGTGCCTAAGGCACTTGACTGCTAACCAGAAGGCGGGCGGTTCAAACCCACCAGCCACTCCTTGGAAGAAAGATGGGGCAATCTACTTCTGTAGTGATATTGCCTCGGAAACCCAAGGAGGGATCGCTATGAGTTGGGTCCAACTCGACGGCACATAACAACAACAACAACAGGTGCAGTGCAGTGAAATACTTAATACAGCCCTTCAGCCGTAGTCTTGGGAGCTCTGGTAGCGTAGTGCCTAAGGTACTTGACTGCTAACCAGAAGGCTGTTCAAACCCACCAGCCACTTGTCAGAAAGAAGGTTTGGTGATCTACTTCTGTAGTGAGACCGCTTCGGAAACCCAAGGAGGGGTCGCTGTGAGTCGGGTCTGACTTGATGGCACATAACAACAACAAGAAGCCATAGTCTTAAAGAGCTCTGGTAGCATAGTGAATAAGGGACTTGACTTGACTGCTAACCGGAAGGTGAGTGGTCCAAACCCGGCAGTTGTTCCATGGAAGGAAGACTGGGTGACCTACTTCCGTAAATATTTATTGCCTCGGAATTCCAATGAGGTTCACTATGAGTCAGAAACGACTTGAGGCAGTGTGTTTTTTTTTTTCTTTTGAGCCATAGTCTTGTGACTCTCATACAGTACTTGGGTGGAACTATGCAAATAAGGTATTTGTGGTCCATGAAGGGGATTGGAAAGCCTGCTAATAATCAAATAAGGTAGGTACATGGGACCGCTCTGAGTGTTTGACCATGCAAAGAAGATATATGAACCCCAGTGAGGGGATTGGTCAGTTTTTAACATCTCACTAGGCTTAAACAAAGCCAGTCCCAGAGCAGAGGGGAACCTCACTGGTACCAAGAGGAGTTAGGAGTAGAACACATCCTTTGGACATGAGGTCCCTGTGCTGAGAACTTCCGAGACCCAGCAGACAGAATGTTGTAACACCAGTGAAGGCGTGAGATGGCATTAATGAGGGCAAAGAAACAGCAGCTGCATGACTTGGAGGCCGCATGAAATGGCACCAGGGACTTTCCTGCCCATGGAGGGAGGCAGCTACAGTGGGTATGCTGACGCACGGAGGAAGACAGCTGAGAGCCTTAGGCACTGTGCCACCAGCTACCACAGCTACCATTCTCCAGCAGTGCTTATTGTTTGCCCGGCAAGATGGTCTTCAGATCTCATTGCGTTATGGGGGTGTGCAAAGACTTTGAGGTCACGTGTGGGCACACATGGTTTGAAGGAAAAATGTGTAGATCCTACCCGTCTGTGTGTCCTTTGTTGTGTGGATTCTCCCTCCCATATCCTTGTCATAGCAACACTACTTTCTCTATACAGAAAACATAGTTCCTGAATATTCAGACTTGCTTTGGTGGTGTAGTGCCTAAGGCATTTGACTGCTAACCAGAAGGCTGGCAGTTCAAACCCACAGTCACTCCTCGGAAGGAAGGTTGGGCAATCTACTTCCGTAGTGATACCACCTCAGAATTCCAAGGAGGGGTCGCTGTGAGTCAGATCTGACACGACGGCAGTATATTTGGTTTGGTGTGTTTGATTGTCCCAGAGGTAGAAGCCTCTGAAGCACTGAATGATGGGACCGATAGGTACTTTGGAGCCTTGATTTAAGGTGAATGCACAGGAACAACGGGAAAATCGAGGCCCAAAAGGGATTCACCATCAGTCACTTTTTTTCTTTATCCTGTAGGTCCTGGCTCCCCAGGAGAAGGAGGGACGGGGTGAAGGAAGGAAGCAGAGATCCCAAGACTCTGCTATCATCATTTCTGTGACCGCCCTTAGCCCAAGGCTGGGATTTTTGGACAGCTATTCAGAGCTCTTACAGAAGAAACAAATACCATACCAGTTAGCAACCATCTTCCAGATTCAGAAGAAAATGATTCAAGCCCAGGTGACTTTTGGTTTGTTCTTTGCTTTCATTGATGTCCCCCATGGATTTGTAGAGTCCTGTAGAAATCAGTGCAATTAAACAAAGATTAGAAATTGAGAGTAACAGGATTTAGGGAAAGAGAAACTTAGATTCTGCCTTCAAAATCGAAGTGGTGTAGAATCAGGACCATACTGTGGATCATATTCGTACCGTGTGGTATACATTAGCACATAATATGCGACTGCAGGACCCTGTGGGGGACATTAGATTTCAACCTGCCTCTGATATCTCCGGCACCCATCACATGAGAAACATGATAAGGTACGTGATATGCACTGTCTGTGAGAAGAAACTGACCACTTCACTGGGAGATGTGACTATTTCATGGCACTCCAGTCTGCAGAAATTTCTCTGATGGTTCTTCCTAGAGGGGTTGGGGTGGATGGTGTCCTTAGCAGCAACCTTCTCATAAATTCAAAAACAAGTCTCCTGTGGGCATTTCAAGAGATTTCCTCATAGACGTCTGTGGGAATGTTGTTGTTGTTAGGTGCCGTTGAGTCAGGTCCGACTCACAGTGACCTGCGAATGACAGAACAAGACACTGCCAGGTCCCGCACCAGCCCCATCATCCTTGCTGTACCTGAGCCCATTGTTGTGGCCACTGTGACAGTCCATCTCGTTGAGGGCCTTCCCTTTTTCACTGATCGTCTACTTTACCAAGCGTGATGACCGACAGCTTCAGGGGATATTTTTGGTTTACGGTATAGAGATTAGCTCAGGCCTGTACTTTCAGGAGTTTATGTAGCCTCTATGGCTCCAGAAAGTGTGAGTTCCAGGACAAGTTGAAGTTCTCGTCTGCAGTTTCCCCCTTGCGATTAGGATTCCGAGTACCATGGACTGCCAGAAGGACAAATAAATCTGCCCTGAAAGAAGTGCCCCTTGGAGGCGAGAATGGCCAGACTTCGTCTCACCTACTTGGGTCACGTTGTCAGAAGGGACCATTCCGTGGAAAAGGACATATGCTTGGGAAAGTGGAGGGTCAGCCAAAAAGGGGAAGGCCCTCAATGAGATGGATGACACAGTGGCTGCGATGATGGGCCCAGGTATAGCAAGGACTGTGAGGATGGCAGGGGACTGGGCAGTGTTCCATTCTGTTGGACATAAGGTCGCTGTGAGTCGGAGGGGACTCAGCAGTACCTAGTAACATAACAGTGGCAATTAGGTAAGACTCTAAATGCACCTTTTTCCCAAAAGGATTGCCGTCTCACATGAATGGATTTAAAATGTAATAAACTATCAGGGCTTCAGCACTGGCGTCCTCTACTGAGCCTGCTGTCTTATGTTGGGGTAGCCTGGTGGGACCAAGAACTAAGTTTGGCTTTTTGTCTCTGGTTCCTGAAAACAGCCTGAGCAATTAAGATGCCCCTTGTCTTTCTACAGTAGCCGGACAGGTCAGGGCTACAGGCCCCACACGTGGTGAACAAACTCAAGAAGGAAGGGGTATAATGTAGTCATGCATATTCATGGATTGGGTCAGTTATCACTATGCATTAGTGCCCCAGTCATGGATGTTAATTGAAGTCCAAATGACTAGAGGACCCTGAATCTTGGAGCTCTCTTTTTGGAGTATCTTGGATTGATGAGAACTTGCATGCAGGGGAGACCATGCAGCATGTCCCTGGGGACAAGTGGAAGCCTCGTGGTGCTGGGACCAGACTTCTCCTGATACGTCCCTTTACTCATATCTTTCTGGTTATAATAAGTGGGTATCTATAAGTTTAGGTAATAGTCTCTTTTGGGGAGACTATTAAATCCAAATAATCTCTTTTTGGATTTTGGGAGCTGTTCTAGGGAATAAGTGACCACACAGGGGCAATTGACTGGAAGGACAGTCAGTTTGTGCAGATCCACGTCTGAGTTACTGGGTGATGGAAAGGCTGCATAGGCAGTTGATGAAGGATGGAGTCCTTCCAGCTTGTGAACTCATCATAGGAGATTAGAGAGAGAGAGAGAGAGAGAGAGAGAGAGAGAGAAAGGCAGGCTGGGATGAAGTGCAAGGAGTTGTGCTACTCCTGAGCCTAGGGCTGGTCCCCAGTACTCTGGCCCCAAGTGGCCAGGGATGAGATCAGATCTAACTCTGGGTGGTGACAGTAAGAGAAAGGGTTTGCTGTAGAAAGGACTGGCAACAAGGAATGGAAATTTGGAAGGTAGGGAAAAGCTCTGTTTCCTACTATGAAGTGGATTCATGCTGATCCTTGCCATGCGGGGTGTGTCCACTTTCCTCTTTATTAGTGCAGTTGATAGTGTCCTCGAAAGCGTCTGCAGTCCACAGAGTATAGAAGATCCCATCTGTGTGTCTTTAGATCATCTCATTCTCAATTGCCTACCTTACCAAGTGTGCTCATTGAGTACAGTGAGGCAAGTCAGACAAGAGGGTGGCAGTTCAGGTAACAAACAGGTCTGAGAGTCAAGGTTAAAGAGTTGTAGGTCTCTTGCGAGTTGTACCTTTCAATACTAGATGGTTGTCCGAAAGCTGGAAACCTGTGTTGCTCTGGCTTCCTAGGCACATTCCAGCTGAACTTCTTCCAGGACAAGTTTGTTCGTTCTTCTGGCAGCCCATGGTACTTTATTCTTCACAAATACTACAATTCAAAGGCATCAACTCTTCTTTGGTCTTCTGTATTAATTGTCCAACTTTCACATGCATGTGAGCAGTTGAAAATACCGTGGCTTGAGTCAGGCACACTTTAGTCTTCAAAGGGACATCTTTGCTTCTTTAACACTTTCGAGAGGTCTTTTGGAACATTGTCCAGTGCAGTATGACATCTGCTTTCTTGACTGCTTTTTCCATGTGTATTGATTGTAGATCCAAGTAAAATGAAATCCCTGACAACTTCAGTCTTTTCTCCATTTATCATGATGTTGCTTATTGGTCCAGTTGTAAGGATTTTTGTTTTCTTTATGTTGAAGTGTGACCCACACTGAAGACTTAGTCTTTGGTCTTCAATCAGTATTTCAAGTCCTCTGCATTTTTGGCAAGCAAGGTCATGTCGTCTGCATATCACAAGTTGTTGATGAGTCTTCCTCCAGTCCTGATGCTGCTTCCTTCTTCATATAGTCCAGCTTCTTGGAGAACGATAGCAATCTTGGTAAAGTGGAGGGTCAGAGAAAATGGGGAAGACCCTCAACTAGGTGGGTTGACACAGTGGCTGCAGTGATGGGCTCAAGCAGAGCAAAGATGATGAGTGTGGAGCAGGACCAGGCATTGTTTCGTTCTGTTGTACCATAAGGTCATAGCCTTTATGAGTCGCATGCAGTGATGGATGGTACTGTGCAAATAAGGTGCTTGTGGCCCACTAATGGCATTAGACAACTTGCTTCTAATGCAAAATAAGGTGGGGTGGTACTATGCAAATAATGTATATGGAACTCTAACGAGGGATTAAAATAAGCCATCCCAGGGGCAGATGGGGGCACCTCAATATTAACAAGAAACTAGAGCCAGGATCAGAGTGCCTCTTTTGAACCTGGGATACCTGCACGCAGACCTCTTCGACCCATGAGACCGAGAGCTGTAACACTGAAGAGGGTAGGAAACAGTTGTAAGTGCTGCAGAAAACTGGCAGCTGAAGAACCAGGAGACCAGCAGGAGGTGGCGTGGTGTGCTCCCTGGCCCATGCAGCAAGATAGCTGCTGGTGAAGATGAGTGCCTTTCTGCACCTGTTGGCAGAGCTAGAGAGCTGACCACCTTTAGGCTGAGAATCACTTCCAGATTGGGGTGCCTCTGGGCACCTATTGGTAGAGCTGACAGCTTTGTAACTCTCACTGGAGCAGGGCAGAGCATGGACCAGCCCGAGACCTGAGGGGCCAAGGACTGAGAGACTGATAGCAAAGGAGAGGCCTGGCTGTGGACATGACCAAGAAGTTGTCCTGACCAAAGAACTGTATTCTGAGCGTCATGCCTGTTCCTAATTGTAGCTTGTTGCTTTCATGGGCCAAGAACTGAAAGACTGATAGCAAAGGAGAGGCCTGGCTGTGGACATGACCAAGAAGTTGTCCTGACCAAAGAACTGTGTATTCTGAGCATCATGCCTGATCCTAATTGTAGCTTGTTACTTCCCTAATAAACCCCATAATCATTTGTATTGTCTGGATGTTCTGTGTGGCCATTGAAAAAATTGTTGAACTCAGCAGAGCAGATAGTGCCATAGGAGGAATGGCTTGTGTCAGAATTGGTAAAAATGTTGAAGAGAAGAGGAATATCTGACCTCTGTCTCATAGGAATCAGCCTTTGGCTGTTGATCTTGATAATGATTCTCTTCCTCTCTCGTGAGGTTAGAAGAAGAGGTCATACACCCCCACCATGCCATGGTTATAGTGTAGTTTCTTTTCTTCTGTTTAATACATTTCACATATTTATTTATTTAGTATGTAGTGTCTTGTGATTCTAGCATCTGGAGTGACTTTTTTCTTGGCTCTGAATGATTACGGTGATCATAAGAATTTATATTATTGATTTACTTATAAGTAGCATATGATTTTGCTTTGGCAAACAGATGTGCTCACTGTTTCTATATATATATATACACACACACACACACAGGCACAGTTTTTTTGCAAATAATGTGTGCATTCTATCTTTTTTTGCCAACTATGTCCTCTCCTTCAAGGTATTTTTGTAAGTGCACTATGTTATTTATTTATTTATTTATTTTATGGAAACGTAAAAAATTACCATACTTCACTTATGAAAATGCCTGGGGTGTTTAGCACATTTGGAAAAAAAATTAGGACTTGTGCATTATTTGAGTATAAGTATGATATACTACTCACTCACCAGCTGTATGATATCTAA